TGCATTGCTAAGTAAGTTTGGACAAGTAACTAGTCTAATAAGTAATTGCAAGTCCCCTGTATGTTATGGTGTGCTCATTTACATTTCAGACTTTTTTGTCAGAATTGCGAGTTTATATCTCGAATTTCGGACTTTATAATTATATATACTTAATTATACTTTTTATATGAATTAATTATACTTTATACCTAACAATTCTGAGAAAGAAACGTGAGACATAAACCTGCAATTCTGGCTTATTTCTTGCAATTGTGAGTTTATATTTGTACTGTCTACATAATATAAGGCCACCCGTCCTTCGGATGAGACGTTAAACCGAGGTCCTGAGTCTCTGTGGTCATTCAAAATCCCAGGATGTCCTTCGAAAAAGAGTAGGGGTGTAACCGCGGCATCCTGGCCAAATTTGCTCCTTGGCCTCTGTCCATCATGGCCTCCTAATCATCCACATATACTGATTGGCTTCATCACTGTCTCCTCTCCACCAGTAAGCTGGTGTGTGGTGGGCGTTCTGGCGCAATATGGCTCCCGTCGCATCATCCAGATGGATGCTGCACATTGGTGGTGGTTGAGGAGATCCCCCCCTTCCATGTAAAGCGCTTTGAGTACCCAGAAAAGCGCTATATAAATGTAACGAATTATTATTATTATTATAACTAAATAAAAATATCACTCTAGCAAGAGTGTTATTACCCACAACTCTAACCAAATCCGAATATAAACATAGACCAAAAGAGCTGGGGCCTATACCAGGAAGCGGGTTTAGGTGGATAGCCAAGTATGTTTCAGTTTAGTTTGTGCCAAACCTGGGTTTTAGGCACCATGAAAGTGGCTTGGCTTTTAGCGGTGTTCATCGCCATAGTAACTTATGCTACAAGGCTAACCTGGGGGCCGTACCATGATGATATAGTTGAATAAACTCAGGGTTATGGTTTTGTATCTTTCTCTGTCAACTCAGGCTTTAATCCTGAGTTCATGGAGCGCATGCACATGAAAGTGTGACATCAGTCGTGAACAGCCAATCACATGCCATGAAACAGAGAAACTGCGATTCACAGAATTTCGCAATTGAGTCAACGTGATTCAATTATCTCTTCTGTCGAAGATTGAAGAATGTGAATTAGGGGCCTATATAAATGCATGTACACAGCAAGAAGAAAATGTCTTGAATGTTATGGTAGTTTATATAGCTGCTAAAGAGATTTGTACATGTAAGCTCACATGTAGTCTTTTTTAAAGCATTATCTATTGATTCTAAAGCGTATTTATTTGACATATTAGACAAAGTCACTCCCTCAGTTGCTCTTGCTCCAAATTAAAGGTCATAACATAGTAAAAAATATATATATTATACAAAATTGTCTGGCTTTTAGCAATGATTATTTATTAAAATTATTTTATATTATTTATATAATTATTTCCATTATATTCCATTACACGAGCAATTTTAGTTTAACAATTATTATTAAGCATTTAATTTCAATTAAAATGCACATATACAGATAAGATTTGGAATCATTAGATAAATCTTTAAAAATTACTTCATGTGAGCTTACATGTTCGAGCCTCTTTGATAAACAAGAACAGTTTGATAAACAAGAAGATAGTATATTGTGTAACTTACATTTTAGACAGAATATTAACAACTACTTTTGATCCATCATCGAAAAGAGTTTCAAACGAAGCCTCAGAAGCGTTGAACAACTCTAAATAATGAATTAATCAGTGTGTTTGAATGAATCGGTTGCATGAATGATTAAATGACACACACATAAAAATAGTCACTTGTAGCCAGAAAGAGTCACTGAAAAATCCATCTACAGTCTGTCTGGAACAAACATGGACAGTTGGAGTGAAATAAATGGTGAAAAGTCCCTGTGTACTTGGACCCCTTTCACGGACTGTGATGACGTATTTTATAGTTATAATATTTTTATTGATTTATTTAAATAAACAATATAAACATTCATGCACTTTCGTTCAGAATTTCACATGAAGATAATGAACGTTACACAATTATGCACACAAAATTAAAACACAAAAAAGAACAATAAAAAATAAATGAAAGAGTCGGGGGTAGTAATATAAAATCCGAATATGGCTACAATCGGGTATAAAAATATCAAATAAATTCTTTGTAAAGCTCACAAACTTTTAAAGTGTTAAAAGTTAGTCTAATGTCTTTAGCTTTCTTATTCAAAGAATCTCTATACTGTCTATGTACAGCCTTACTTCAGTCAATCAAACCATAAAGTTTTTTTTTAGACAAGTTGCATTTAAAGGTTCCATCCAATTAGAGGACCCAAACTAACTTTGGTATACAAATATTTTTTGCATGGCACAGGAAAATGTGAATTATATATATATATATGTGTTTGCTATTTTAATCTTGTTAAGGGTACCACCCTAGTCCTGAAATGAATATAATGTAAGGCAATGACTGATGTCAGACGGGATCTGTTTCAACACATGCTTTGACATGGATAGGAGGGTGCGGCCTTTTAAAAATCTGCTTCTCTGAAAACCTCATGAAAACATTTGATCCATTTTAAATGCTGATTCAAACGTGATTATTGTAGAAGGATGATATTCTGACTTCAGAGCCTCCCACACAGACCCCCTTCCTTTGATTTATAAGTACACTCCACGACAAGCCACAGTATGTGTAGCCTGAGGGATGGGGCTCAATTACAGCAGAGCTGACATGCATCTAACAGAGTGAAATTGACTGCATAAATGCATGTTTAGACCTTCTACTGCAGAAAGAGAATGGTGATGCCACTGTTAAATATTAGCTTTATACATTTATTTAAAAATTATTCGATTAATCTTCCTTTGGAGTCGATGAGTTATGCACAATATGAGTGAATACTTTCAACCATTTGTGGGGCACAAAAAAGAGGATTAATTCTCATTCACATTTATACCTTAACTCATGGCACACTTCATGAGATTAGTAAAATCACGTGAGTTTTAGAAGATATGACAATAATGTCTCACATTGTGTATAGAAGTCTGCAATCAGAAGTCAAAGATTTCAATACCAACTCAAACATTTCAAATTTTTCATCAAATTAATCAAAGACCACATTCTCTGAGCTACTGTATCCGCATTAATTCTAACAATGGAATATCATCTTATTGTTTGTCAACTATTCAGGTTTTTCAAGTTTCTATTTTTATTTATCCTAATGAATTATATAGGAGTGACATCTGAGACACAGTAGATGCTAAAATGAATCCTTAACAATAATAAATAAATAGTTCTTCTATAATGCTATACTCATTCAAGGTTCCATATGTTAAGAAAACTACATCAGTTCTAACAATGAAAAATAGCATTTATTAATCTTAATTAATACAATAACAAACATTGACTAATAGGACCTTATTGCAAAGTGTTTCCCATATTGCTAATTGTTTGTACTCAGGTGGCATAACATAATGCAAATGTATGAAGCAATCAAATCAAAGTAACAATGTTAATAGTATTGTTAATCTTGCTGGTTCTATTTTGTGCGGATCTGCTCTGTTAGACAATGATGTCATCTATGCTAACCTTTTTCATGTGACTTAAAGCTGCCTTGAGGTGTCCACATTCCAGAAGGACATCATGTTACTGCAACACCTTGAGATCTGAGCCACTGAGCATGAGTCATTTTGTTCTCTGAGAAACACTAGACTCTCCCCTGTATGAGGCCAGTCAAGCCTGCAAAAGAGTGTGGAAGGCAGGGCTTTTGGCAACAGGACTTCTTTGAACTCGTTCAATGGCTTCTTACAGTACCTTTGTGCCAGAAAATCTTCATGCAAACCTGTTTCTCAGCTTCTTGAACCTGATCTTGTGATTGACAAGTTTTGCATCTGATCTAACTGGCAGTTGATGTATTTTTTTTTTTTTAGCAGGAATGGAAAGTTGTTTTCCAACTGTTTCCTGTTTATCATAAACCATCTAAGAAGGTCAAATCTATTTGTAGTTTAGCTGCTGCTGCAAGGTAAGCTTATGTATAACTTGAATCTGGCCTCTAAAATAATGACACAAGTGTTTTTATAATCTCCTGACTAACCCTCCCATAACGATCATTTACATAAACAAATTTCGTTCTATTGATTTCCGCTAGAAAGAATCAACTACTGTATGACCTTTGCATGTGTACAGGCATTTAGAGAAGACTTAAAGATCTACTGATAACTGAATTTCAGTCTACTTCATTAGCCTGTTGTTCCTGAGCTTACAAAAGAAATATTCCAAGTAAAATGCACATGTTGATTACTTGAAAATAGTTTTTCTATTTGCAATTTTAAGGACATAACTGTATTTTTGCTTGTTTTGAACATATTTAAAGAGTTTAAATTATTTTCTGTGGTGTAATGTAACAGCAGTTTAACCATCATAAAGTGATTAAATTATGACAAGTGGCAGAGCAAGTTATTACTAGAAGTTTGATGAAAGATTACAAAGACAAATATACTTTTCATAGGAATAACTTGCATACCGTTTAATTTGGGGTCGGTACGATTTTTTACTGTTTGTGAATTAAGACTCTTATGCTCACCAAAGCTGCATTTATTGGATCAGGAATACAGTAAAAGTAGTCATATTGTGAAATATTATTACACGTTATTTTTTTTTATTTTAATATATTTTAGTCTTCGTTCTAATATGCTGATTTGGTGCTCAGACGTCATTCCTTATTATCATCGATGTTGAAAACAGTTGTGCTGATTAATATTTTTATGGATGCATTTATTCAAAAGTTCAAAAGTTAATTCTTTAGTTCAAAAGAACAGCATTTATTTGAAATAGTGAACAGCATTTATTTTGTAACAATGTAAAATTTAATGTGTCCTTGCTAAATTAAAGTATTAATTTCTTTAAAAACTTTGACCCCAATTCTGATCATTCATTCACAACAAGAACGGGAATGTGCTTTTCAGGAAATATTTTTTACAAATATAAGCTAATAATAATTTTTATCATTAAAAACAAATCTACAATGAATGCATTTAAAAAAATGTGTTTATTACAAATATGTACAATAATATAAAAAGCTTGAAATTTACACTGGGATTGAAATGAACAGCAATAGCCCATATAGAGATGCCAAAAAGTTACCCACCTCTTTTCTCAAGCGTTTGTTTTCTACTAAAACATGAAACTTTCTGACCTAGTAAGTTTTGGTCTGTTTTGCTCAGTGCTCCACAAGATTTCGGAACACTGTCTAATATAAATATGCACATATTATAAGAAGAAAGCTTTCAACAGACAATGAAATGTTATTAGCAATAATCAGTGCAATCACAGTCAACAAATAAAAACCAGTGGCACCCACAAAACCAATGACAAAGCCAACTCCAACAATGCTTAGCTACCATGAAATGATCCGAAAATGGTCAGACACTGAATATCTCCCTTTAAAAGACAATTTAACAATCCCTAATTTGCTCATCGAGTGTTAACAGCCATTGCAACACAATTGAACAGTCTCCCTTTTGCTTTTTACAGCAGAAACACATGGGCCTACACATGCATTTTAAGTCCGTTTGGTCATATGTACATTTAAATTTATTTTTTCCTTCTTCATTTCTCAGACCATAAGTTGGGTGTGGTTGTGGAATGACTGATTGAATCTTTGCGGGCCCTTTTGGGACTCTGGCAGTTGCCAGGTGAGTGGATGAAGGTTGGACTGCTGGGTGGAGATGAAGAAGACGACGAAGAAGAGGATGAATGGCAGGAAGAGGATGAAGCTTTGAGCTGGAGCCATTTATCACCCAGCGCTTTGGCAAAGTGGTCATCCACAGACACGCTGATGGAGGCGGCTCTGTGGTAGTTCATCCCGAGACTCCTCTGGAAATGCTCTTCAACATGATCATAACTGTGCTGGGTAACAACTGTAGAGACATATTGGAGATAGAATCAGATGATGATGATGCTCAAAAACTATTCATTCTGATGAAAAATATCTGCATGGACATGTTAAAGGAAGCATGCCAAGCTTATTTGCATCTTTTTACTTACCAGTGGAGTGATCGCAGCAGTCTTTTTTGGTTGACCTTGTTGCAGAGGAAACGCAAGTGATGACAGATGGCCGTATCTGAAAAAAAGACAGCAAAGGTCAGCAAATCCTTGTAGCCACACAGTTTTTCACCCATCTATAACAGAGCTTTTAGAATAGCTAGCTAATGAATAAAATTGATGGAAAGATGGGAAACTAAAAGGGAAATATGGACCAAAAATGGAAGTTATGTTGGTGGTTGGTGGTTCTATACTGTTTCTCCCTCAGCCCTAATGCCACTAGCAGGTCAACAACAGCACCGGTGTGTTGAGACTTGTTGACAACATTCCTCCACCCATTGCTCACATTTTCTCCCTGAATCCGGCTGGATTGCATATCTGAAACAGGCAGAGGCCTGTCCGCACTCTAAAGAGCCACTCTCTCAGGAACACAAAAGTGCCTTCCTGCATTCTGTTGTGTCTCATAGACAGTGAGTGAGGATGAACAGACTGCGGTGGCCTCAGGATAGACTCTAAGATGTAGATGGTATAATGCACAGAGTGTGTTAAAGGGATACTCCACTTTTTTTGGAAATAGGCTCATTTTACAACTCCCCCAGAGTTAAACTGTTCAGTTTTACCGTTTTTGAATCCATTCAGCCGATCTCCGGTTCTGGCGGTACCACTTTTAGCATAGCTTAGCATACATCATTGAAGTGGACAAGACCATTAGCATTTCTCAAAAAAAAAATGACCAAAGAGTTTCGATATTTTTCCTACGCAGCGCCTGAAAATAGGCCACCTTCCTTCAACACAACGGAACTATTTTCAGGCGCTGCGTCATATCATTACGCCTGCTGCACTCATGGTACGGCAGTGAAGTTTCTTGATTATTACGCAGGAATGAGAGTATAGTTTCTAGCCATATCAGCCTAGAAAATCGCAACTTTACATTTTCCGTCGGTCTTAGTGCACGATGTAACTACAGAAGAGTCAAGTTTTAAATAGGAAAAATATCGAAACTCTTTGGTCATTTTTTTTTGAGAAATGCTAATGGTCTTGTCCACTTCAGTGATGTATGCTAAGCTATGCTAAAAGTGGTACCGCCAGAACCGGAGATCGGCTGAATGGATTCAAAAACGGTAAAACTCAACAGTTTAACTCTGGGGGAGTTGTAAAATGAGCCTATTTCCAAAAAAAGTGGAGTGTCCCTTTAAGTCAGCACATACTGCTAAAGGAGTCAGGGCTCAACAATAAGGACCGCCCGATGGCCCTGTAACCTTGACGGAACTGTAACTTGCCCAAATGGGCCAGTGCTGCATCTTCATGAAAGTTTCATGAAAGAAGATTTGCGCATATTTTTAAGCGAAATGCCAACTTAAATATTTAAGCGAGAGTAGACACGAAAGTACCCACGTCTCTCAGTTTGGTACTCGCGAACGCACATATTCCCACAAAATCTTGTCGAGTATCATCGTAATCATAGTTGGTTATGTCTTAAGTGAAGACTTAAGTGAAATAAAATGCATGTGTAATGATTCGTGCAGGTCTTACAGTGACAGCAGCCTAATATTCCTGCTGCTGTCTGGTTTTATATGTTAATCAAACAAAAGAAGAAAAAAAAACACTTACTGCTCTGGAATTAATAACTTTAATTAAGGGTTAATCTATATTATTTATACAGTGAAGACTATAAACTGTGATATTTTACATTTGATTACTATTACTGTACCTGAATATCTAGTTTAGACCTACATGAACAACCTGAAATTTTTATTTTATTTATTTTGTATATGTTTGTGCTATTGCTCATAATTTGATTCTTTGTTCTTATTTTATTACTGACTGACTTTAACAATATTTAAAATGTATATGAGTAAGGCTAGTAGTTTTGTTGTCATAACCTTATTTATTAAGGTTACATGGATCAAAAATAACTAAAACAATAACTAGGCCTATTTTATTTGATATATTTATTACTTTTATTGGTGGGGCCACTGGCCCGACCGTCAATTTAATTATATTATATTATTTCAAAATAATTTTTTTAAATATGATATTGTTATTAATTTATTTTTTAATAAATATTAACATTTAAGTGTTGTTTTTAATAATAATAATAAATAAAATAAACATTATATTTTGATATAAAACATATCATACTCATTTAACAGTAGTATTAATCACCTGTATTTGTTTGACTGGTGTGGCTTTGTTTTGGCTTTCTGCTTTCTCTGGTTCTGGGCGTGGTTTCTTGATTAGGGCTAGAGGCTCGTCCATGACTGGGGTGGAGTACACTGGGCTGGGGATCAGGTAAGTGGGGCTGGGCGTTGGGCTCCATGTAGATGTGGGGCTTTCAGGAATACTGAACCCAGATGATCTGCGGGCACCGTTGGCCAGGCTGTTTCGAATGGCCCTCCCTCTTCTGAAACAGAAAGTTCAAAAATAAATGACAAAACGAACTCCTCTTCAGTCCCTCTTATTCTACTGGTTATTGCTTCCATGTTGGAAGGTACATGGTTCATTACCTCTCCTCAAGTGTCCGTCCTCTCTCTGAACTGATTTTGCGCTTCATCGGATGTGCAGGGCGCATCCGCACCCTGTCGCTCGTCATGTGGCGAAATCTGTCTTCACTTCTCAGATTGGGCTGTCCTGTGAAAAGATGAACACAGGCCCGTGTGACTTCAGATATGATAAATGACATCGCTGCAGGGTGCTCACACGGTCATTGCCAGTCACCGATTCGCTTACTTGTGAAAAGGTGTGGCAAACAAGTAAACAACTGACTCTTAATCCTTGGAATTGCATCACTGTGTGTGTATCTTAATTGTGGGAAAAAACGTTGTTGGGCCACCGTTAAATGTAAACTCCGTTAAGTGGCAGAGCAAGATCAACTGGCTCTGTGAGAGTATTACTGTAGAACTACCCAGCTGATTCACCACTAACGGTAAATGTCATTCAAATGTTGGAAAACATTCAGGCCAAAAAAAAAAAACGACATCAGTGAACAAATTAATATCTTACTGGCTTGTTGTTCAAACTGCTTTGAGGTGCAAAACAGGCTTTGTAGGTTAAAGCATGTGGCTCACAGAATGTTTACCCAACATAACGATAGTAACAGACTAATCCAAACTGAAATACACATCCCCATTCACATGCTAATATCATCAACAGTGTCATGCAAAGGTATTGTAATTAAAGACACATAATCTGCAACATGCTACAACTGATAATGGTTTAGAGCTCATTAAGAGCTCATAAACTTTATAGTCTCAAAATGATAAGTTTTACTGCATGGGTTCAAATTTTTTGTTTATTAAATGCTAAACTGAAACAAAACTTTTCACTTTTCACTCGCAAAAAAACAGATAGTCTACACTGAAAGTATGTGCATGTATGCCTTTTTACATCTCCAGACAAAAAATAAAAACAAATCCTAGTTAAACAAATTAAAAATAACTCCTCAAATGATAATGCATAATAAAATAAAATATTTTAAAATAAAAAAATACCTCACTTTTTAAATTTGTCAAGTTTTTGGTTAACAAAGTTTTGAAGTCTTGTTTTTAACCAGGTTAAGTATACCTGCCCATAGCAATTTATGGAACATGCTAACATTGCCTTTGAACCAGCTTTTGACCATTGATATTGGCTTTCACAACATCCTCTTGTTCCACTCAAGAATAAGGTTAGAGATTTTGTGCAACCTGTGACTTAAAGTTACTCTAATTAATGATTACCACAATCAGTTAAGACTTTATACTCGAATGTAGCTACAACAATCATTTGAACTTGCTAAATATTTTAAGAAGTAGTAAAAACAAGATCATGGGCTGTGGATATCAAATCAACCATTAGACCAGTCAGGACCTGTGGTGATTTGATTGGTGATTAACATCTGAGGTATTTTACCACTGCATGAATGAAGTTTAGCGTTTAGGCACTATCAGACTTCAAGCGGATAAAGTTTACCAAATGCTCAAATGGCTTGGATGATGAGGGGGCATTGTTGGCAGAACCCTCTTTCACTTACACACACTCAAAAAATCTCCTAAGCAGTGGACTGTGACAAGGCAGGTTGACTTTGCATGACAGTGGATGGGGGATTGGGTGTAAACCACACCTTAAACCTTGGCTGATGACTGATTTTTAGTGCCTCAGGGAGGGATATTTTTCTTGGGGAGATTAAAGACAAAATAACAGACCCACATCCTTTTCTCATTTCTTTCATTTGCTGCCTAAAACACACATCAAGCATGTCTTCATCTCAACTCTTCTCAACTAACCTTCAAAATAACAGAGCATCATCATTTTTGCCAGTATTAAAGGGGTTTTCCAGCCTCTTTTCTTATTTGAAACCTTCTGAAAATGCATATGTGAATTTTTTAATGCATTTATATATTTAAATATGAATTGAATACATGAATAAATATCATGTATAATATCACCAAAGAATAGACACTCTTAAAAAACAAAGGTTCTTTTTTCCATGAAGAACCTTTAACATCCATGGAACCTTTCCATTGCAAAAAGTTTATTTTATAGTGAAAAAAAGGTTCGATTTCGATCATTAAAATGTTCTTTACACTAAGAAAATCTATGGTTCTTTTTAGAGCTGTTCACTGAAAGGTTCTCTTGGGAAACATAAATGGTGCTTCTATGGCATCACTGTGAACAAACCCTTTTGTAACCTTTATTTTTAAGAGTGCACATTAAAATGACCAGACAGTTCAAGATAATAAATTCCAGTTGTACAGTACATTTTCTTTCTGATACTGATTACTATTGTTTTAATGCAGATAACATGCAGACATCGTGTAATTCTTAGTTTGAACTCGTATTAAGAGCTAAAATGTGATAATTACCCTCTAAGATGTACACTTTGAAGCCACTGCTCATCCGGGTTATGTAGTGGAAATTAGTGACCGCCATTCCTTTATCTTCAGTGTTTTCTAAGCCGTGCAATGGTCCTTAACAAGTTGAGTTTTGAGCGCCAGAATCGTTCCTCACTCAACTTTGAATTGTCACTGAGCTCCAGTGATCTGTGCTTTCCATGAACATGCCTCTCTGCCTTCTTATTGGCTGGTTGAAGGCCAACCCCCTCCCTCTGCCTTTGTCTGCATGACCTACCACCACAGGTGCCTTATGGGAGGAGACAAACCAAAAGCTCTGAATTGCCTGCTGTCTATCACCCCCATACCACCCCCAACATGGGCTAAAACTGAGTTGAAATCAAATTGCAAGTAAAAAGTAATAAAACTGTATTTTACATTAGTTTAACATAATTTATGGTGAAAGAAGACAACAATATTGGTTAAAAGAATATTCTAAGCTGGCATGAGTGTTCAGATTTCATAAAGATGGGTATCACAGAGATGTGGTTAAACTGAATTACTCCAGCAGACAGGCAGGACGCTCAAAATAAAAGAATCAGGTTGTAATTTGGTCTGATCTACCCTCCTCTCCATGTATCAACACGCCAGTGCAGCCGGGAGAGAGATGAATGGTTTCCTTGTGTAAAACATCACTGTTCTTGAGAAACACATTTCCTGCTGTTATAAACCTTAAAAATTGATACTATCCGCAAACAAGCTACTTTATTAGATCTGTATGTAAATGTATAAGCAACATTTACATACAGAAATAGGCAGTTGTACAGAAAATGGTTAACTTAAGAAAAATATAATATGTCATGATAATATAATATAATATGCAATTAAATCTTATTAAAAAGTCAGAGCTCACTAAGAATGCAAGCAAATATCACTACAATATAAAATAACGTTTTTGTATTTTAATAGAGGCTATTTTAAAATTATTATAAATAATAATATTCATTTATTAATATTATGAATACATTTATTTCTGAATAGCTGAATTTTCAACATCATTACTTCAGTCTTCAGTGTCACATGATCCATCAGAAATTATTCTAATGATTTGGTGCTTAAGAAACATTTTTTATTATTATCAATGTCGAAAACAGTTGTGCTGCTTATTTATTTTAGAAACTGAGATACTTTTTTCCAGGATTCTTTGATGAATAAAAAGTTCAGAAGATAACCATTTATTTGAAATAGAGTTTTGTAACATTATAAATGTTACTTTTGATCAATTTGATGTATCCTTCCTTGCTGAATAAAAGTTGCCAATTTATATATATATATATTAAAAAAACATTTATATAGCCTATTACCGTTTTGAATGGTAATATATATTTTGGTATGGGACACTAATCTGAAATTTCAGAAAGTTTTAGGATTTTGAAATTATTTGAAATGGTGTAACACAAGAGAAACAGAAACATTTGAAATGTAACTAATGAAATCAAAATGAAAGCAAATGTGTGACATTGATCTTGTGAAATCAACTTTCTTTCTTTTTTTTCCGTTGAATTTTAAGATGCTCTTAGACTTTTGAACCCAACAGTAATTCCTTTTGGAACGTCACCATCCCTCTTTTCCTTCCCTGGATCTTTTTAGAATCCACAAACAAGTCTTGCTCTGTCTTTTGTTTCCTTTCTAGGAGTCAGCACCTGTCGACAGACCCCCCCTCCCTAATCTAAAATCTCACCCGACTGCATTTTTCAGAGTGTTTAGCCCACCTGAGCTGCAGTCATTCCACCATCTTGCCCATACATGCAGTTATGTTGTGAGATCCCAACCTTTATGCATTGGGCCTTTTCTTTCCACAGATCTGTTTCTCCCATTTCTTTTTTGGCAGAAAGACAAAGACTTCAGAGTGCTGAAGAGAGCTTTGTACAGCGCAATCCTGCCTGAGCATGCTAAAGCCACAGATTTACATACATGACTGAAACACACTCCCTCTGGACACACAGTTAACTTAACCCCATTTGCGTTACAAGAAAACCATCATAGTGCTACTCTACATAAGGATAGCCTTTAAACATAACTGTTTTTTAATATATATAATAAACAAGGTAAAACAGCCAGGTAAAGTTAGTACAGGTGATTTGCTTCCCGTAAGAAAACCATTTAACAGCGCAATACTTTCTCAAAACTCTTACTCATAGCTTATTTATTTTGTAACATTATCTGTGATTGATAGCCTCTCACAGTACCTGCGAATTTACACTGTAATGAACTACTGTAAATATTTACTGTACTTACCCCCTATCATTATTGGATTGCCATCTATTTTATAACCACTTTTCCCAGGATGCCACACACGGTGTATACATCTATTCTCTACAGACCAGTGAGAAAAGTTTCTCACAATCTTTCAAGCGCTGAAATTTCCAGTTTGGTTAAACAGGACATTGTTGAGCTGTTTTATGGAAGGTTGTGTAAATTTCTGAACATATAGGCCCTATAGTAACACTAACAGTCAGACCAAGGTTATACTTTGACAATCTTTACACAGCACGATTTCTCTGTTGCCTCGTGGAGCATCATGTGGGAAGCAGCGACCTCTTGCGGTATAAATATAACAATAATAGAATTAGCAACAATTCAGGCATTCTGTCACCATGGTAGTACAGGGAAACGAAACTGAATTATCTATGTGAATTATCAATCCAGATGTATAAACACAATATTATTTCAGTTTTGCTTTTTTATGCTGCTTCGGAGACACTAAGGAGTGTATCTAATGCAGAAAAGAAGAAACGCCCACATAATACATAACGTAAACCTACACAGCCTTTGCAAAATAAGCATTGTTTCAACAAATAGTCAAATATTTGCAGTTTGATGGCTGTTTTCCATATGTATAGTTGTATAGGTGTAAATAGCGTCTGTTGTTTTGAATGGCACCGACTGTCTGAACCATTCACGTGTTGTTTATGAATACTTTTGCTCATTCATTAATGGAACAGCTTTGTGAAGGCGGATATAAGCTTCCTTTGTTAATGCAATGGCTCAGAATTAGGGTCAACACCAGAAGTGACAATTCATGTCATGCATACTGTGCACTGTATGGAGAGACTTGCGCAACTGGTTCCAGATGGGGGAAAACAATATTTTCTCAAGGGAAAGGGACACTTTTTCCTGTAAAACAACCCTTTGTGAATCCACAAACAAGTGGAAGATGATGTAGTGTATTAATTGAGCATTACTGTATAGCACTACAGTTTGTGCTCATTTTGTGTTTAAGTGCTACTCTAAAACAGTGAGAAACTAGTTTAAGAAAATAATCCAAACACAATGCACATACCAAATGTTATACAACTAGCACAATGAGCTACAATAATATTAAAATAGTAGGCCTAAATTATGTAGACAACCATTCAAAGGTTTGGGGTCATTAACATTTTTCTTTTTCAAAAAAACTAATACAATTTCATGCATCCAGTTATTCAGCAAGGATGCATTAAACTGATCAAAAGTGACAGCAAAGGCTTTCCCATTGCAAAAAAGATGTCTATTTCAAATAAATGCTGTTCTTTACAAATTTAAAATATTAAGCAGCACAACTGTTTTCAACATTGATAATAATAAGATATGTTTCTTGAGCAGCAAAATCAGTATATTAAAATGATTTCTGAAGGATCATATGCCACTGAAGACTGGAGTAATGATGCGGAAAAATCAGCTTTGCATCACAGGAATAATTCAAAATATATTTAAATCGAAATGTTATTCATTTAAAGTGATTTCCAAAAACACTGTTTTACTGTATTTTTGATCAAATAAATGCAGCTTTAGGCAAGAGACTTCTTTCAAAATTATTTAAAAAATATTAACGACCCAAAACCTTTGAACGGTACTGTATGTGTAAAATATAATAAAATAGTTTTGTATATTTTATATAATTGTGTGTAGTTGTAACACATAACTAATATAAACTACTACAAACAATTATATAATTACATAACATATTATTTTGTACATTGGGGGATCCAGTTAAGGCTAAATGAGGTTTTAGTTTTTTTTTAGGTATTAAAAGAAACAGCGATGAGTATTAAATGATTTAAGTATTTTTAAAGAGATTTTCCCTCTATTCATTTGTTATAGTTTGGATTAGGCCATAATGTGTGAGAAAGCAAATTTTCCTTCATTGCAGACATTGAGCTTGATCAGATGGGAGGGCGAAAGACCTAGGAATGATATCTGCAGTCCTCCTGTAAAGCTCTGGTGTAAAATAGCTCTCGTAAAGTCACATCTCAGATTGCATTGTGCGCCTGAAGGTGTCTGCTGCTGTCCACATCTCCATTTTGTGCTAATGGGTGTAACTAATTCACCACTCAAGTAAAGCATGTAAACAATGCTTTGTTTATTGAAAGGGTCAGTCTGTCTATGCGAGGTCCTATTTCATTATCAATCAGACATGTTCATAGAAATCAAAGGTTATGATTAAGAACCTGGACAAGCGACAACATGTATGAATACGAAATGGTGGAAATATAAAATGGAGTACACACACCTTTTAGAATCACATGAATACAAAGGCAGTAAATGTGTTGTTAATGTATTGTGTTGCAATGGGTGGAGCCTGTATACATTATGTTTCTCCATTTGAAAGTCAGTCTACTTGTCAGACTCACACTGACTGTATTTCAGTAACTTTTGAGTCAAGCATCCAATTATTTACACAAATGAATGTTTTCGCTGGAAGTGATATTGCATGTTTGTTGCAAACGCTTCGTTCAACAGTCTAAAAAAGAATGTTTGTGAATACTATCACTGTAAAAGATTATATGATCAATACGTTATGTTTTTACATTGCTTTAAACAAAATAAGTTAAGCAATTTCAACAGTTTTATGTTATACAAGATTCAACAGTCAACAAGTCAGTTTAATGTAATTTAGATTGAAATGACTTAAACATCCAAATTGATTGTACTTAAAAAAAATTTAGGCAGCAACTTTTTATTTATTTATTTTTTTAACAAGTATCAGTTTCATTTATTTTTTCATAAATTTAAGCTCAGATATGCACCTAATTTCATTATCAGTTGGCCAAAATTAGATTAATATATATATATATATATATATATATATATATATATATATATATATATATATATATATATATATATATATTAGAGTTTTGCTCTTTCAATTTAATTTCACTTCTGGTGCATGTTTCTACAAAATAGTTTGTTAAATAAATTTCCTTTATGGTCAATGACCAGAAAGGAAATATATAATAATTTTTTGTAACTTTTATACTTTTAAGTCGTGATGAAACAACAGATCTTTTCTCACTTATTTTAACTTTCATCCAAGTGTAATGGATAATCACAAAAAAAAAAAAAAAATGTAGGGTGGGGAATTGGTTCTGTCCATCATTTAATGATTGGCTGAAGGCAGATCTGAATGCGAGCTGGCCATTGTAAGAAAGTTTATGCAGACCGTGAATCGAGAATTCGGCATACGTCCCCAAAAATCGAATTCTGACATTTTGATTGAAAATTACGAGGTCAAAAAAGTTAACAAACAAAAAATTAAACAATAAGATCTAAAACATGCCAGTATGTGTTGTTAATATTTTGTGTTGCAATGGGTGGAGCCTGTAAACATTTCTCCATTTGAAAGTCAGTCTATTTGTCAAACAGACTGTAAAATAGATTAACATTTATTTTCATACCCACTTTAAAGTATGTGACTATACAGAAATTGACTTTCAAAATGAAATATTCCCTGGAGAAAAAAGTGTGACAACTATCCCCGGTCTCTCTTAACAGCAACATTTCGAACATATAGATTCACTGTCCGTGGTGCTGAAATCACATACAGGAAGGAGTATTTCCTCAAGAACTGTCCAGGGTACTGAAAACTCATCCTTGCTTTTTAAAGATGAAAATTGCATTTTGAAAAGTCTACAATTAAATAAATAAATTTAATCATCATAATATGCAAAACTATAAAATTATAGTATAATATTAAAAAATACCTAGGAATACCTTTAAACAATAATTTACACATTTATTATTGATTTTTCAAATGTTTTCATTGAGTCTCCAGATATTAAATAATAAGTTGGCATCAGGATCAGAAATTAACCAGGGTTAAATGCAAAAATGCAACAGAAAGTGACAAAAATACCTAAAATGTTTACAGAGTAGAGACAAAACGTCCTGAACTGAATTGAATTCTTCAGTTTTTATGTAACCTTTTATGTCTTCTATTCTAAGTGTCATGTGCCCTTGATTAAAAAAAAAGATAATTTCTGACACTCCACCAACATCATTCTTTAACTAGGCCTACATTATTATTAGCAAGTTAATTTTTGTACAATATATTCAATACGAACAGTCCTATAATTAATTGTCAATTGTCTGAGGTTGTTCTTACTTGCAGCACCCTATAATGTACAAGGACAGTCCTGAGGGAAAAACCCTGCAGGTGTGTTGCTCAAGGGCACCATGGTGACAGTTCAAGGATCGCCACCTGCAGAGTTTGAACCTACATCCTTTTTGTTACAAGCTGTTTAATCGCTTGGCAGCATCACTCACTGCCAATGATGTCCAATCGATGTCTCTTCTTTAAAATGAACACAAGCACATGCCAAAATCGTCTTTCCTTCCCATTCATCATACGCATCTAAACAATTACATCCCGGACCTGTCCCGTGCGTAAAGAACGTGCGCAACGGGAGAAACCGGTGATGGGTCTGAAAAAACGACGAGGGGAAAACACTGGACGGATTACAAGGATTGGATGGCACGAGTGATGCAATCCCTGCATCCTCCGAAGCCCCAACCGGATCACAGAGAATCTGGCCGGAGATTTTGCCTCACCGAGTTTCATATGACAATTACTACCTTCACCGAGCGAGCACACTTTGAACAAGTGCCTCTTCGTTAGGATTGTTTTTCTCCACGCCCGTGGATTAGGATCCAAACATCATCAACATAAATGGAAGGAGCTTGATATCGTAATGCCAAGTGTTGAACAAGCTTCTCAGTGATGTAAGTCAATCAAACACAAAAGGATTTATTTATGCATATTTAATCGTGATCTCAATAAAGCATTGATTTGATATCTTTCATTTGTTGCAGTGCTGCTCTGCATGCGTGAAGCACGACCTTTGCTTTGAGGTGCAGCCTGAAGAATTGCGTATCGACTCGTTTTTGCGTCTCGTTTTAAACTGAAACACTCGGTTGCATCCTAGATATAAGATAGTTAATCGGTTTTCTATTCGTCTTGGATTTTTTTTTTTTTTTTTTTTGCCGTGCAGAACCTAGAGGGAGGTAATTTACCGTCGCATCCCTTTTCATATTCAACATGAATTACCTGCGACGTCGACTCTCGGACAGTAATTTCATGTCCAACTTGCCTAATGGCTACATGGGCGATCTACAGCGGCCAGATCCGCCGCAGCAGAGCCCAGCCCCGGAGGTCTCGCCCGTCTCTCAAGAGAGGCGTCAATCCACCAGCCAGTCTACGGGCGCCGGCTTCTTTTCCTCCATTTCCAACGCCGTCAAACAGACCACCGCCGCCGCGGCCGCCACCTTTAACGAGGCCACCGAGAGAGGAATCGGCTCGAGCAACGCCAAGATCCTCCTGGTCATTGATGACCAGCAGACAGACTGGTAAGATCCTCAGGAAATCACAGCGTTTTGAATACGACGTAATGGCTTGGAGTTTATGAACAGATTATTTGAGAGTATCAGAGGTGTTTGTTTCATACTCGCACCTGAGGTGTAGCTCTTGCTAATACAGGCCAAAAGGAGTCACTATCCAAATGTCGTGACTCATTAGTCTATGGGCCTTTCTGGCACGCGCGCCCGTGTAGTTGTGGGTGTGCCCGCGCGTGCGTTTGTGCGCATTACACTATTCAGCCTGGGACAGTTAATGGAGAAGCAGTGAGATTACATTAGCTGTTGAGTCCAGATTATTAAAAGGTCCTGTGTTGTTGGGTTTCAGAATAGACTGGCTCTGCTTGTGAAAAAAAGTAATGTTGTCACAAAGTCTTTGAAAATGACAAGGTGATTGAGGCACTTTTGGAGTTATCACAAATTAAAACCATTTGAAGAACTTCTAGGAAGTCTTGTTGCCATGGATGTCTTGTTTTATACTCAAGGAACTAAATATATTTTCAAGAAATATATATGTCAAGTGCCAGCCTATCCTTTATAATGAGGTTAATGGATTGCCAGTCTTTAGGGTTCTTGTAAGAACTTATGGGTTCCTCAGAGAACTGTCCTTTTTTGCAAGGATGCCTGGAGGTTCTCGAGAGGTTTCTTCTCGTATGGCGATCTAAGGAACCTCACATGGTTCCTCAAGTGTCTTCACAATTTTAATGTGTGTGATATTTCTCTCAGTTTCCCTGTGAGGGCTAGTGACACATTTACTAGAATAATAAAACCAACATCATCAAAAACTTAATTTCATATGCATTTTAGAAACTTTTTAGTGGAAACAACATTTCCATCCATCTATTGATTTATTTATTTATTTAGTGACCGAAAACAAAACTGGATGGAATATTTGAACACAGGGTAATTAGTTTAGTTATTTCATATGGCCATCACTATGTGAAATTGTATTTCTCTGTGTATAAACATACAGGTTTACAGGACTATAATCTGTTTTTTTTTAGGTTAAAAAAAGTATAATAGTAGCATATAAATATAGAAATATTATGACAGTTTGAGACGCATAGCATAAAAACACAGTTTCAGACATTGAAACGAAACTCCTCTCCCCTTCTCAAAGAATTCATGCTTAATAAATGTTTGAAATACATAATTTTCACACCATTTCACTGTTGCATAATCCAGTTTGGACACAGTTTAAGTGTTTTTGTTAACTATGACTCACAAGAGTACAGTTATGTTCTTTCTTTTTTGATCTTTCTTCCTACAGGGCAAAGGTGTTCAGAGGGAAGAAGGTTCATGGAGAATTTGACATCAAAGTAGAACAGGTGGGAAGTTTTTTTGAATTCTTCCAAACTACCGGAGCAGTACAACTAAACAATGTGATTGTGTAATGAATTAGATGTTGCCAAAACACATTAACTGGCTGAAGATTATTGTCATCAATCTGAGAGGAAATTGCATTACAGGGCCTTTGTCATTTCTTCAGTGTCATTTGCTTGTGTTTTTGAAATGGGAAATAGATCAAACCTGTCCCTAGTAATGAAATGCAAGATCTAATCTGTTCTTGAGGAGGATAAAATAAAATGAATCTGTTCTGTCAATGAATAATATCCTTTTAAATAATTAGTCATGGACGAGACGGATTTTGGTAGCAGCTTTACAATACTGTAAACCAAAAGTAATTTATTCCAAAAGAAACATTTTTATTGAACAACTGCTTGCATTTATGATTGGTTAGAGTTTTATATGTAATACTGTTCATTATTTATGTAAGACTTTGGCAACATACTGGAATACCAGACAGAAATACAAAACGATTCGACACGATACAAAACGAAAACACTATTTTTTTTTAACAATTCCACATTTGTGTTTTGAATTTTTAATGATGTCAGTCAAAAATCTTGTGTTACAAGGAAATATGCATGGTATTCTCTAAAAAGCCCTTTTTGTTGTTTTAAAATAACCACACTGGTAACCCATCACAGGCCTCAGGTGCTGTTTTAGTGTATATGCTTTGACAACAGCACTTTATTGATCACATGCATTGATCCATTTATTCCATTTGGTGATTTCCATTGATTTTCAAGGCTGATTTCTCGGAGGTCAATCTGGTGGCTCACGCAACGGGAAGCTATAGCGTGGACATTGAGGCCATTCGCAATGGCAACAAAATCACAAAGTAGGTTTCAGATCTGTTTAAAGCTCCTCCAGAATGTTTTCTTTCTGTTTAAAGCTCCTCCAGAATGTTATTGCACAGATAAACCATGTAACTCAGTGGGTTTTACTTTGTCTAATTCAGTTTGCATTCAAATATAGATATATAAAAAAATGTATGAGAACAATTAATGTATGTTAGGAATATTTAGAGCAGCAGTCAAGATGATTAGTCGAAGAAACTATGTTTACTGTACATTCTACTGTACTATATATAGACACTATACAGATAGATAGATAGATAGATAGATAGATAGATAGATAGATAGATAGATAGATAGATAGATAGATAGATAGATAGATAGATAGATAGATAGATAGATAGATAGATAGATAGATAGATAGATATATAACAGTATTGGACTGATAATAATTACCAATACCAACATTTCTGTGGTCATTTAGGTGTTTCAAGCCAGATTTTGTGATGGTGCGACAGCATGCTTTCAGCATGGCCAAGAATGGCGACCACAGGAATATTGTGATTGGACTTCAGTATGCTGGTCTGCCCAGTGTCAATTCCCTTCACTCTGTCTACAACTTCTGTGACAAACCATGGGTGGTGAGCACTACACACATCAGTCCATACTACTCAGGCAATTAAGGATGTTCTTATAAATCCAAAAATAGGAAATATTCATGTATTTGAACATGTTACCATTCATAAGAAAATTAAACATGCAGAATAGTGTTTTCCAGGCCTGAAACAATTATGGAAATAAATAAAATCTTTAAAGTCCTGGAAATGTCTAAAGTGAATATACATTTGTCTTGAGTTGATGCTCTGCTCTAAAAAGTTAATTGGCTTTATACTGCTTTTGTATTGTCAGAAATATATAAATCGTTTTCTTTAGTTTGTTATTTACAATGAATTGGGTCAAGCTGGTTCACAAATCGGATTGAATAATTCATTTGCAAATTGGCCTGAATCAGATTGATTTTTAACAATCGATCAAGTTAATTTGACAACTGAAAGGTCATGCAAAAATCCTTAATTTTACTATTGAATGTCATTAATTATTGCTGCATAATATTTGTCTCTATATGTGTATGCATGTATGTCTGTGTGCGGGTCGCCATGCATCTATCAGTTCGCTCAGTTGTCCAGATTGTACAAGCAGTTGGGTCCAGAGGAGTTCCCACTGATCGACCAGGTTTATTACCCCAACCACAAGGAGATGGTGAGTGTTTAACCATCTGTTCCTGTCCCTTCTCAACAGTAAACCCTGAGCTATAGGGCTCTAGACGGTCCCACTGGACCCAGTACAAAGCTCCCATCTGTGGCAGGGACAGCGGTGCCTGGATGCAGTAAATAGTAAAATATCCAGGGCTCATACATATTCAGTGCCCTAGTTCAGCATTGCTCCACTCAACTTAGCTCTGTCTAGACTGGAAATTTCATAAATCTCAGACTAGTATAATTGTGTGGTACATCATGGTTCTTATTGACATAGTTCAGGGTTTAAAAGGAGAGGGAGGCTTGCTGCAGTGCCACCACCTCCTCCTATTCCTGCACTGCAGGCATCTTTACACAAAAATGATCCCAGACACACACTCTGCCAGAATGTTTTCCTCTCTCTTTATCTAAGATAATGCACAGCAGACTTAGACATCATTTTGTGGGCTTATTTTGTGCCTGAGCAGGAAGATTTTGCTCTCGCATTTCTCCAACTGCAGCAATATAAAGAAGATGCCTATCAAGCAGCACTGAGACTGCAAATACAACATGTTCTACCATTAATAAACAGTTCAAAGTAAACCAACTTGATGTTGGTGTCGTTTTCTCCTAAATTATTCAGTCGGATAATAAAAATATCAGGCCAGTATTGTGTATTAACATTTGCAATAAGAACATGGTTGAGTAATGACATGCGTAGGACTCTATAAATTCTTATGGTCACCATTTATTTGACCAAAAATACAGTAAAACTGTGGAATATCATAAAAATTTTTGTATTACAATATCATTTCAAATGTAATTTATTCCTGTGATGCAAAGATGAATATTCAGCATAATTTCTCCAGTCTTTAGTGTCACATGATCAATGTTGAAAACAGCTACTCATTTTTTTGCAGAAACAGTGATAGATTATTGTCAGGATTCTTTAATGAATATAATGTTCTAAAGAACACCATTTATATTTGAAATAGAAATGTAACTTTATAAAGGCATATTTGATCAATTTAATGCTTTTCTTAAAAAATAGCTTCATATATCTCTCTTATCATTAGATCACTACACCTGGCTTTCCTGTGGTAGTGAAGATGGGTCATGCTCACTCTGGTATGGGAAAGGTATGACTGAAACCCTTTCCTAGACATTCCTGCCAAATGCTATCTTTAGAATATATGATACAAATTGAATTCATTACATTGTATTTATACTACTTGTATCTATGGTTATAGCAGTATCAGTGCAATTTAAATTCTCTGTCCAGGTCAAAGTGGACAATCAATATGATTTTCAAGACATTGCTAGTGTTGTGGCTTTGACAAAGACATATGCCACATCTGAACCTTTTATCGACGCCAAGTATGACATCCGAATCCAGAAAATCGGTGACAATTACAAGGCATACATGTAAGAGATTACAACTACATTCTTGTTCTCAACGGCATGATATAATCTATGGTTTTAGCATTATCATAGGAACTGATTTTGAAACAGTTTGCTGTTGTGTTATTGGACAGGAGGACATCTATATCTGGCAACTGGAAGACCAACACAGGATCAGCCATGTTAGAGCAGGTGGCCATGTCTGACAGGTACGCAAGTCTTAAAGGATGTTCTTTCTGCCATGATACAAGGCATATTATACAGCACCTATAACATGACATCAGATAACCTTATTAGATGTTTGCTTGTCTAAAAATTACATATTTTGTAATATTATGTATTATGCATATGCTAATAGCTCTTCAGCTGCCTCCGTAGACAGCATTATGAGACATTAAATGGTAAGATACTTCATTTTAGGCAGCATTGCATTTTTATTCAACATGGCGGATGAAGCAATAGAAATGTTGAACATATAATAATATACTCATGAATTCATTAATATTTCATGCCTTTATTGAAATCAGTTGTACGTCGGTGTCTCCTGTGCTTTTCACACTAGTTGCTTCCAACGTTAAGTGTTCCAAATAAGCCACTACTGATTTTCCATTTCAGTTAGGATACAGTAGGCAGCTGTCTATGTATACAGCAAGACAACTCAATAAGATTTGGAACAGAATTGTATTATTATTAGGCTAAACGAAAAAAAAAAAAAAAAAAAAAAAAAATGTGTAATTTAAAATGCAAAACTAAGAATAAAAAAGCTCTTTGTTTGCTACCTGTATCACGGTCAGGTTCAGTTATGTTAAAGGAGAACTCTTTGAAAAAAATGAACCTTTGGTCTTATTACACATTGTTACCTAGTCAACCGTTCTCTGAGATTTGTTTTCATGATTATCGAATGTAAAGAGTTTTATCTCTAAAAACAGTTTAGCCTATAAAGCTAGTATAACGCTAGTATATTGGGCATAGAGTCATGGCAAATAAAAATCGCTAGTTAATACCACTAACAAGGCTCAAAATAGCCCCACACTAACACGGTAGCGTAATGAGGGTCCCTACCTGCAAACCGAAGCATTGAGAACTTTGTCAGAGTCCAGACAGTTTAATAAGAAGATACTTTATAAAGACAGTCCACTTCGCGTATACAGGCAGGAGCCATCTTTGAAAAACAGGTTTGACAAGTCAAACTACGAACGCCGATCCAAGTGCCGATCTAAGTCTCTCTTTTTAAATGATTTTTATTTATTTATTTTCTGTGTTGCGTTCAGTGCTTCTCTTATGCGCTCAGTGCTTTCTTCCGGAAACAACGGACCATATGAGATTCCAAGACACAGTTCAGCTCACTTGGATCGGCGTTCGTAGTTCTACTGGTCGAGGCTGTTTTTCAAAGATGGCTCCTGCCTGTATACGCGAAGTGGACTGTCTTGATAAAGTATCTTCTTATTAAACTGTCTGGACTCTGACAAAGTTCTCAATGCTTCGGTTTGCAGGTAGGGACCCTCATTATGCTACCATGTTAGTGTGGGGCTATTTTGAGCCTTGTTAGTGGTAATAACCAGCGATTTTTATTTGCCATGACTCTATGCCCTATATACTAGCGTTATAGGCTAAACAGTTTTTAGAGATAAAACTCTTTACATTCGATAATCATGAAAACAAATCTCAGAGAACGGTTGACTAGGTAACAATGTGTAATTAGACCAAAGGTTCATTTTGCGCCGGAGTTCTCCTTTAATTCTTATATTAACATATATAATATAATAATATGTTAATATATTCATCATTATAAGTTAGTTTGGTTCAGCTGTGTTTAATTATCATCATTGTGTATATGTTCTTCCTGGTCACTCAGTGTTTGTCCTGTACTGTTCGTGTCTCGGGTAGCACCCTGTTCCGCATGTTATCTTCTGTTACCTTAGCGTTACAGAATACCAGACCCAAAATGGACTATGCAGCTCAGTTCGCTGCAGTGGCTCGTATGAGTCAGAACTTTTTTGTTTTTGCTGAAGGATTTTTACGTCTTTCACTCACCTGCCCCTGCCCCTACGACGACGAGACCCTGAAGTCACTGTTCTGAATCGGGGCAAATTACCATCATCCTGTTGACCTCCCAGACACCACTGGATTAAACTGTATAGAAGCCATCATCCGGTGTCTGGAGAGCGTCTATCCCGGGTCCAGAACACAGCCGGAGCCAGAGCCTATTTCACCACGGAAAAATCGCATGAGCCCCCCGCAGATGGAGAGCTACCACCCGCCGCGACGCGTCAGCCAGAGCCCGAGGACAAGAGGGCTGCGTTGACCCTCGCCCCGGGAAGAGGAGTTCCCCAGTGAGTCTGACCAGGGGTGTGAGCCCGCAACATCGGTGGCAGAGGGTATACTAGTGGAATTAGTGACTGAGGACTGGCTGATGGATTTCCATACGGAGGTATCGTCGTCCACCCTATCCCACCCCGTTTTTCATTCTTCACCGCTGTTTTTAGACAGCACAATAGATTGTTTGGACTGTGACTTATCAGTTTCCTCTGAACCCTCATCGCTGTTTCTAAACAGCACAGACTTACATGAACTATACATTACCTCAACCCTTCCAAGTCTCCATTAGCCTCCGTCGCCGACCTTCTCAGCCAGTCCTCCAGCCCAATCATCTCCTGGAATGCCTTGCTGGGACGTTGAGCCTCAGGTCGAGCAACCTCCACCAGCGCCTGAGCGAGCAGATCCTGTGACTCCGCCTCCGGCCTCTAATCGCGGCTCCACCCTGGCTCCTCCCACCTTCAGCTCCATAAGACCCCTCGGCCTCTCGACTCAACCGGGTTCCCTCGTCCCAGCGGCTCCCCCTTGGTTGGTCGTCACACCACCTCCGCCACGAACTTGAGGATCTCCCGGGCTCCTACTCCTTCCCCTTCAGACTCACCTCGGTCCTCGAATACTCTGGCTCCTCCTTCGACAGTCGTCGCCATGACGTCGCCTAGGCCTCCGATGCCAGCGATGTCACTACATCAGCTCTCCATCTGCGCCCTGGGATCCATCGGGTCTGCCTCCGCCGGGTCGTCCCCCAGATGTCGACAGTCCCGTCAACACCTTGGCGCCTCCCTCCCTCATCTTCCCCGGGGGTTGTCGTAATTGCCAGGCTCTCGGTCCAGGCCATCGGCCATCCACCACCATCGCTGCCATGGGATAATTGTCTTCCCATCACCACTCCTCCGCCGCCACCTACTGTCACCACACCTTCGCCACCTCTTTGCCCACCTCCAAAACCATCTTCATCCCTCACTCACCTCATCTGCTTTTACAGCGCGTGGTCACGCCTGGTCGGAGGGGCGTGTACTGTCACTGTTAGGTTCAGTTATGTTCATTTTTAGTTTCGTTTTCATGGACTTTTAGTTTGTTATTCATTACATGTATTCCCTTGGTTGAGTTCCCGCCTGTCTTCCGTCTCCATGGTCACACATCATTATTAGTTAGTTTGGTTCAGCTGTGTTTAATTATCATCATTGTGTATTACTGTTCACTCAGTGTTTTTCCGGTATTGTTCGTGTCTCGTGTAGCACGCTGTGAGTTCTGCTATCTTCATCTTCTTCTTCAATTGGACCTTAGCGTTACACCTCGCTTGTTTGCAGGGCTGCACAATTTGGCCAAAACTTGTGATTATATATAAATATGACTTTATTATTTTATAAAAAAATATGTGCCTTTGCGAGTTGATAAACACACAAGCCATATCACGATTTTGCTTTTATTTCGATTAATCATGCAGCCCTAATTATCATAGTGATGTAAAAGTCATTTAAATATAAAAAATTATGAAACTTACACTGAATAAATATCACACATTCTTCTTGGAACTGACTTTTTTTCAAACAAAAATCAGTTTAGTTTGCTGCAAGAGGCTTTTCAATCAAAACAGTCGATGATACCAAGCCAAATATTAATGTCTTGCCCTGCAGTAATCCTGAATCCCTTGTTTACTCTGGGCAGTGTGTTGTTAGTGGGTGGATGCTTTTAGTGGAATGCACAAGGTCATCATTTGCACTTTTTCCCCTGTAGGTATCGTATGTGGGTGGACGTATGCTCTGAGGTTTTCGGGGGTCTTGATATATGCGCTGTAGAAGCATTGCATGGTAAAGATGGTAGAGATTACATCATAGAGGTAATAACATCTACAAAAACAGGCAGCTTTCAAAATAACTATGAAATACCCTTAGTGCCTCAGGCAAATGATTTGTGTGTGTGTATGTGTGTCTATCAGGTTGTGGGCTGCTCAATGCCTCTCATAGGAGACCAGCAGGATGAGGACCGGGCTCTGATGGCTGATCTTGTTGTGGCTAAAATGAACCAGACCATGCTACACACTTCATCTCCCACTCCAGTCCGTTCTCAGGTTAACACGCTTGCTTCAAAACATCCTCAACCCAGGCTCATTGGAAAAAAATGATTTCTGCAAAATATTCTGAATTCTGGTTCGTGACACTCTCAAAGTGAAATGACCAGTGAGTGGTGCTAAAAGCGAGTTCAGTTTTATCCAAACCAGATGAACGTGAATCTGGTAACGTTATTACATTGGTTGTTGTACATAATGTGGCAGTTTGGAAATGAAATATCCGGTGAGTGGTGCTAAAAGTTATTGTTTTAATGCATTTGAAAATGACGTTGCACCTATTTGAACCCTACCATAAACCTAACCCATAGTCTTTAAAGCAAATATGAGATAAAAAAATGTGCAACCATGCTATTTTAGCTTGCTTCAACAAGTCTTTCAGCTCTTTTATCATAACTCTTTTATCGTGGCTGTACTAGTTCAGCTACTAAGCAAGTTTACTACATCAGAAAAGCCATACATATGGAGCTGGTTATGTGATGAAATCATCAAATTAGTTTACAAATAATGCACTATAGTAAAAGCATTTGTTTTGTCATAACATATTATTGTGCAAGGTACTGTGAGAAAATAAGCATTTATTAATGAATAATCATGCCCCTGTAATCATCATTTGTGTGAAACGGAATACATTTTTTCTCATGAGAAAATTTATTCTCATGTGAGATTTTGAAAAAGCTCTGCTCTCTGCAAAATCAAAGACTAAATTTTAATGAGCTACGCGGTCAGAATGTGGTTGCTATTAGAATATTGCTATTGCCAGATAGCATATGGACCTAAAAAAAATACATACAAAAGCTTTGATTTTTGGTTATGCAGCATAAAGCAGTGCTATTCTGCTGAATAATACATTCAAATGGTTTAGTTTCCACACACCAGTCATTATTATTGTCAACTTAGATTGCAGTGCAGAGACTGCTTTTCTCCATTCCCTAAAGCCGTGATTGAAATGATTCATAGTCACACAGATGGGAGAGAATAAGAGTGAGAAACGCTTTTAATGCATAAGCTAGGGACTCAAACAACATCTCTCATCACCGCTCTGCGTCATATCACTTGGTTTAATTCCCTCCACATTTGTGCTAAACTGATTGCCGGAAGATTAATGACTGCATGTTTTGTCTACATCAGCCATTTATTTATGTTTCGAGAATGATGTTCAGCAAATTTTGTCATTACAGCTGTTTAAAGATCTTATTTGTGATGGAACATTCACTTTTCTTTTCTTTATGGTTTAAATGGTAATATCTGATATACTCTATATCCCTCCCTATGTCTGTTTTATATTCTAGGGCCCGGCTGTTTCACCTCAACCCGTCTCTCAGTCTAACGTACCACAGTCACAACAGCGCCCTCCTCCACAGGGTAAGGGATTACAATATTGCAATAATGAAGCCAACCTTACAGGGATAGTTTACCAAGAATGAAAATTCAGTCATCATTTACTTACCTTTGTGTCGTTCCTAACCTTTATGACTTTCTGTCTTGCGTTAAACATATAAGGAGAAATCCTGAAGAATGTTTATGCTGCAGTTTTACATAATATGAAAATGGATTTTTACGGCATATCTCCAAAAATGTCATAAGTGCACCTTAACTTATAGGGTATACGTAGTACATTCAACTTATAAGTCTTATGAAGTCATACAATAGCTTTATAGGGGGATAAGTTAAAATATAAGTTATTATTTACTACACCTTCCCCAAAGCTTTCAAATCTCATTTGCATTTTCAAATTAAGAATTTACTCAGATCTTTATTAAAGATTATGAAGACAAACTTAATAGAATTAATTGTGTGCACCATAAGACAAGTAATATGCAGCAATAAAGTAAATCGTTTTTTTTGATAGACAATTTTTATTACATGCAAACTTAAACAATTCTATTTTTGTATTACATGGCATTTATCAAGCAACACCAAAAGACGAGAGCTGCTCAATATATTAATCTCTACTATTCATTGTTTTTTCATCAAAATACTCAGTCATAGTTTTATGTACCATAATCGGCTAATGGCATGAGACCAAATCTGACCAAAATCACCAAATTGAGTGGCTAATTTGGGGTAACCTTTCCATAAAAAAAATGGTCTCACTGATGGCATGCAAATGTTTGTGTCGGTCTGCTGAACAGATGCATTAACAGCCGTTGATTCAAATTTAAAGGGTTAGTTCACCCAAAAATGAAAATTATGTCATTAATGACTCACCCTCATGTCGTTCCAAGCCCGTAAGACCTCCGTTCATCTTCGGAACACAGTTTAAGATATTTTAAATTTAGCCCGAGAGCTTTCTGTCCCTCCATTGAAAATGTATACACGGTATACTGTCCTTGTCCAGAAAGGAAATAAAGACATCAAAGTAGTCCATGTGACATCAGTGGGTTAGTTAGAATGTTTTGAAGCATCGAAAATACATTTTGGTCAAAAAATAACAAAAACTACGACTTTATTCAGCATTATATCCTCTTCAGGTTCTGTTGTCAATCCACATTCACGAGTCCGCAGTGAGGGTGTTGACGTAAGACACTGCTGACGTGTATCTGGTGCGTCCGTCTATTCGGGTTCAAATAAATATGGCTGGGCAAAAAAATGCAAGTCTTCCTCTGTGTCGAAATCCTTAGACATGTTTGCGAAGATTGTTTTGTTTACAGTGTGCGTCTCCCTCAGACTGTAAATGAAGCTCGGGCGCACCAGATAACACGTCAGCAGCGTCTTAAGTCATCAGTGTCACTGAACGCGGCTCGACAACAGAACCGGAAGACAATACAATGCTGAATAAAGTCGTAGTTTTTGTTATTTTTGGACCAAAATGTTTTTTCGATGCTTCAAAAACATTCTAACTAACCCACTGATGTCACATGAACGGAGGTCTTACGGGCTTGGAACGACATTGGGAGAGTCATTAATGACATAATTTTCATTTTTTGGTGAACTAACCCTTTAAATGTTTATCGCACTGAATTTTCATGACAAGATTCCTTTAGTGTGAACAGGCCTTTATGGTACAAATCACAATACACCTTAGACATTCAGCAGACAGAACAAGGTCATACAGGGTTGGAATGACAGGGTAAAGAAATGAAGACAGATATTTTTAAATATCAGTAGGTCTCTGATAACTGTATATTTTAATAGTTGTCTGCCGCTTCCAATTGTTTTTGTTATAAGGATAGCAGATGAACCCAAGCGCAGACGGTATGCAATCACACAACGTTTATTATAACAGAAAAACAGGGGAAAACAACCCACGAGAGGGCAAAACAGAGGCAATACAAACGAGGGATTACTAAACTAGATAACACTTGCCAAAAACTAGACTACTAACAAACAGCAAATACAAGATCAAGACGTTCTTCTAAGACAAGGTACTCACGGGTAGACTCTCACAAAGTGTGACACATTGCACCGGCACAGGACGGCAAACACAAGGGGATAAAATAGGGGAACACTAATGACGAGGACAGGTGAAGCGACTAGACAATAATGACAAGACGAGGATAACAAGGGGGCGGGGTTACGTAACAAGACAACACAAGCACATGGCCGAACACAAAGCCATGTGCTTGCACACAAAACATGAGTCTGTCATGATCCTGCCCCAAGACTTAAAGAAAGACAAGAACTAGATGGCAGAATCATGAGTTTTACCTGTCAAAAACAGAAAAACTGGTATTATTCTAATTCATTATCATAATCACAAACACATTGGTTTGTAGCACAAATAGTATTATTGTTTACTGCATTTCATTATTCTAGTAATGTACCTATAGTGGCTAATAACTCAGAAGTCTCAAATATTAAAAACTAATGAATCAGAATGTTGAAAACGTTTGTGCTGCTTAATCGTTTTGAGGAAACCATGCTATATTCTGTTCTGAATAGAAAGTCTAAAAAAACAGCATTCATTTGAAACAGAAATCTTTTGTAACATTATAAATGTCTTGAATCGGAGGTCTCGCACATTTAAAGAAAATGTATGCTTATTTCCGTATGGCAAAATATGGTGGATATTCCAACCATGTTTGCTCTGTAAAAATGAGCTCTGTTTTTAGGAGGTCCACAACAAGCAGCTGTTAGCGCTACTCCTGCCCGTCAAGGAGCCCCACCGCAGCAGCGGCCCTCTCCTCAGGGCCAGCCCCCTGCCCAAACCCAGTCTGTGACCAGCCCTAATGCTCAGAACCCCCCTGCTCAACAAACCCGGCCCAATCAGCCCCCACAGCGACAAGCCAGTCAAGGGTCCGCAGGTCAGCAGAGGCCCGCACAGGGTCCCGCCCAACGTAGCTCGGGTGGCTCTCCTCAGTCACAGAGGCCCCAGCAAGGCGGTCCCCAACAGCAGCCGCAGAGGCCTCAAACTGGTGGCCAGGGTCCCAAGCCAGCTGGTCAGCCCCAACAGAGGCCACAGCAGCCAAGACAAGGCCAGCCAACCAGACAGCCCACCCAGGGTGGGCCGCAGCCAACCCAGGACGCCCCACAAACAGCTCCGCAACAGGGCGGTCCTCGTCCCCCTACCACTCAGCAACCACGGCCTACTTCACAGGGCCAGGGAGGCCCAGGAGGCACACGACCTCCCTTGCAGCAGAAACCCCAACCTCCACAGAAACCAAGTCCTGATCACCCGGCCCTGAGTGGATCTCCGCAGCTTAAGTAAGATGTTTTTTGTCCTCTGTCATATTTGCCTGAAGCTTGTATATTTAATTTGACTGGATGTGAAAGTTCATAAGAATCTGGACATGTTTCTCCATTTATTGATGATGTTTCATCACTCATGCAAGTGACTACACCAGATGGTGGCCATTCTCTTTTGCTACGTCATAAGATTCGCAAATCGCATGACAAGTTCATGGTACTGATGGCATGACTGACAATAACTGTTTGAATTAGGGTAAAGCAGTGGTTCTGAACCTTTTTGGCCCCCCATTGTCTATAACAATAAAAGCCCCCCTCCAAAAAATGTTTTATTAAATTTCTACCCAATAAAATATTTTAAAGCTTGGCATTACTAGAGAAATGTATTTTCTTTGTAAAGATGCCCATGGGGCTTTACGACTTTACCAGGTCTAGAAATTACACTTTAAAAAAAAGAAAAAATAGTAAATATCTGGATTGGGCATGAATACAGACTTGCAGATTTGATTTAGACTCAGAGGTCTCTATATCTATAATTACTGAACTATTCATTTAAAAAACAAAATGACTCTTGAGTCATTTGTTCATGAATTGGGCTACACTGGTGGCAGTGTATGTATGAAGATGAACATATTCATTTTTAAAAAGCAGGGCCCAAACTATGCAGCTAAGTGTATTAGAACACAGTGTCACCTGCACGACAGGAAGCACTGTACAAGTAGATTTTCACACGGTATTCAAATGAAGTGTGCTATTATTAATTAGAAAACAATATTTTTACACAGCGATGTCACAGATCTACTAGAATGTATCTGTTTATTGTTTACATAAAGAGACTGGGTGGAGATTATTGATCTGATGGGCCCTTCCTTGACTTGCCAGCCATTTACAGTGCCATCATACCCCTTGTAGTTTTAACTAATTCACACAGCCTGAAGATTATTCATATAATTAGCTTTATTTATTTAGCCAAAGCTATTTAAAAACGATCTTATAATTGCGGTATATATTTCATATTTCAGCTATAAGTGTATGGGTACTGTCAAGTTTGTAACTCAGATGAGCATTAAATGAATGGATAAACACATCCAAAAGCTTCTGAACAGATTTTGCAAAGCATATGATGACTTTAAATATTCAGATTTTGATAATGGTGATGACAATAATGAAAATGACATTTGACAATAATGATGAATGTGGCTTATACATATAGGCAGATGCATAATTAAAACAATGGAGATACAGAAGTTTGCACTCTAGATGATCTGGTATTTTGCATGCAAACAAAGATGGCTTCCTTCAGTCTTACACCCAAACCATTCAAGCATTGATTGTGGAAATTGCATTTTTTCTGATTGAAAGTGTGCATTCGATCTATTTTCACTGTCAAGCAGTTGTTAGCAAGTATGAATGTGATCATCTCATTCCCACTATTCCTCAATTAAGTTCTAAGGTGACTATACAATATAATGCAGGTTCTTCCAAAATGTTATATTACTGAGATGCCTCTGCACCTGGTTCTTCATTTAGGAATAGTGGCCATAGATGCCATTTCCCATAAGTCCAAGGGCTGATGTACATTGCACTGGAGTCATGATTTCTTAAATGAATGACACAAAAGAAAGCACATGAATTTCATTCTCTCTCTTTCTCTCACAGCTTATTTATTTTTTCTCTGCCATACCTCTATAAAGCCATCTCCATGGGTTTGCTGCATGACTTTAATAGCCTCTTCCTCTCCTTTATTGCCACTTCTTCTCTTTGTAGCAAATCCCAGTCTCTTACCAATACATTCAACATTCCAGAAACGCCGGCCGCCCAGCACCAAAGTCCTAGTCAGGACGAAGCCAAGGCTGAGACCATCCGCAACCTTCGGAAATCCTTTGCAAGCCTCTTCTCCGTGGAATAAACACACACACACACACACACACACACACACACACACACACACACACACACACACACACACACACACACACACACACACACACACACACACACACACACACACTAACACACACACACACACACACACACACACAGACAGAGAGGTTACACAGTCTTTCTGAAAAACACACGAACACAGACACTCTCATCAAATACACACAGAAAGGACCAATTATATCGCACTTTGCAGTGCACATCAGATCTGTGCACGTCAATTTGCAATGCGACATTGATGAAACACTGCCTGCACTTCTAAAGATTGCAATATGAAGTGAGATATCACAGCATTATTGCAGTTAAATCTTTTAACACAACTGAATTCTTTAGACACATTCCCAGTTTGTTTAAGACCAACTGATGGAGGGAGGTGTGAAAAAAAAAAAAACACACACAGAAACACTTGCACACACCCTTTTACACTACCTACGCAGTGACTGGACCTACACGTGCTGATACTTGTCTATTCATTCCAGTCTCCTATGAATAACTTATCACTGATAATCAATAGATTCTTTTTGAAAATGAAATGTTTTGGTGGACATTTTGTTGCAAAATCATCCACCACCACTCTTTCTCAGATACATGATATCTGAAACATGTCTACTAAGTGTCTGAAGCATGTTCTGTTACAATAAGGGGCACCATTTAATGATTTTAACCCGTGCGCCACATTGTAATGTAACCGATTGGTTAATCGTTACGTAACTTACACGCTTGAGCAGGATTTGGATTTTGCAATGATGACCCATTGTGATGTTGTTAAAATTTTGCACAGGCTTCCATCGTCGAAACTAACCCCCCTCCCGCGGCTGTTAGCGCTAGCTACTTTGAAACTGCATGTCACTTAAGGAGAACGTAGTCGCACAATGTGGGTGTTCTTGCTTTGTGTCGTGTCGTTGCACCTAGATAAGGTAGTTGTAGTGAAAATGATGTTTTATTTTCGTGAGCAACCTGTCGCTGCTTTCCCTACGTCCCTCTTCCTGACAAAAAAAAAACACACACACACAATGGTACACCCTTCAATATGTTGAATATGCCTTAGATATGAATAGGTAAAGAGATGGTTTGTGCAATCACATATGTCTCAGGGATGTCCTGAAGAGAAAGACACAATGACCTAGCGTCATTGATCAGGTCTTCCAACCCATTACTGTAGAGAGTTACTGATTGTGAAGCCAGTAAAGGGAGGAATCTGTCGAATGTATTTGTTTGCTACATAAACATGTTTGCACACTAATACTGAAACACTTGAGAACATATGAGGTGAGTGAAAGCTCAGGAAGGTTTGTTGAATTAAAAGAAGGTATATTTTGCATGCCTGGATGAGCAAAGGAGAGCATGTAGGTGTTTGGAGCTGCTTGTTCATTACACTTGGGCCCTAGGAAAACGCAAAGCCAAGGATGCCATCGGCAGCAAACTACTTCACAAAAAGATCAACTTTAGAGGAGATGCTCGTCACATGTTGGGTTTTTGACTAATAACGCATATAGTACGTCCCAGTGTGATCCCAGTTACACAATGTGGATCCTTAAACCAACTACTCCTGAAACTTCTTGCCATACCCGAGGAGTTTAGAGCTGAACCGGCAGTGTCTTCCACAAGTGAGGATAAAACATCCCAACACTGGTGTGTTTTAGGCAATATATTTAATCAAGGCCATTCCAGGAGTCCCGACCCATCCCGAAACCTCCCCTGCTTCCCGCTCACCAGCCTGTTGTGTATTCACAGTGATCCTTTTGTGACAAATGGTGCGTTAATGTGTATATATATGTATAATGTAATGTTGTACCGTAAACTGTCTAAACCAAATAGAAGTGTTGTACAGGTCTTAAACTCAACAAACGATGCAAACATCCTGTATTTGATTTGATCCTCAAAAGTTGGTCGTTGTGGGTCTTGTGTATGACAGGATTTTACTTTAATCAGATGTGATTTAGGTTGTGCAATATCTCCACTGTTAACTAAACCTAACAGATGTGTTCTTTATTTCACCCATTATGTGACAATTGCAGTTGTTAAAAGCCATCTTCAATGTGTCCACTGATATGAGTGTAAGTGGCTTGATTGGTTCACATATGTGGTAATCTAGATGGTCCACCATGATATTATTGTGGCTCAGGCAAAATTTCAGTGCTCTTCTATGTGGTTCATGTTTTTACAAATTAGGATAGATATGTATATTATAAGATGGCTTTACTGAATGTCTAATGAATAACTGTATTACTGATGCAATCAAGTTTGGAGGCAAATGGAATTTCAGTAATTTATTTGAATGTTGCAGTACTTATGGAACCCATGCCTGAGGTTTGTACTTCACAATTTGGTTTTTGTTTTTCGGCATATTTGCATTTGTGTACTTTTGTTTTATATATATACAGAGGAATTATCTCATTTTAAAGAAAATGTGTCATAATTTCTAAATAGGTTTATCCTGTTCTGACTGTTTGAATCTTAGTGAATTTTATTGTCTGTGGATGCCTGCCAATTGTATAAAGAAAGGAAGATATAAAATTAAAGTCACAAATATAGAGAATTATTATAGTCTTAAGTCCTATTAAAATGAGAAATATTGTTAAACATTGTGTAGTATTACACAAACAGATGCAACTTTGATGTGATCTTCAATGTAGCTTAATAATGGTGTCAAACTATGCTAAAATGTGCACATAATCAATAAAGTCTATCAAATGAATATGCATCCATTTCTCTGTTAACAGCCGTTTTGAATAATAACCATAAAGCAATAAGTAAAGGAGGCAGTGCATTAAACTGATTTTAAATGGTAACATACAGCATAGCAAATAAAAACAATAGGTTACTGTCGTAACCCCGGTTCTCTGAAACATCGAGTGGAGAGATCCACCTATGGGAAGGGCATCCGTACCTGACCTCTGCAGAAGCATCCAATTGCACCAAGTCTGGCTAACAGACAGAAGCGCGCAGCCAATGCCAGGTGAGGCCACACCCCCTTACCTACGGGCATATCACAGCTGGGCGCGCTGCTATTCCTCAGTCAGTATATTCGCTTCTCGTGCGGCAAGCGGGGCAAGGCTGGTGGATCTCTCCACTCGATGTTTCAGAGAACCGGGGTTACGACAGTAACCTATTGTTCTCTTTCATCATCTCGTTTCGAGATCCACCTATGGGAGAGACATGGACAGCTCCCCGATTGCCCAATTCACTCACAGTGAGGTTCTGAAGGCCAGAGAAGGACGGTCACCTCAGAGAGGCGGTGCCTGACACGTCCCACAAACATGGACCGCGGAGCAGATGTCCTGCAGTGGCACTCCCCTGAACAAAGCCCAAGAGGCAGCTAAGCCCCTTGTGGGATGAACTCTGATGCCCCTTGGGGCTGCACTCCCTTTGCTTCATAAGCCATAGTATAGCGTCCACAAGCCAACGTGAGAGGCATTGCTTTGAAATGGGACTCCCCTTGTGCAGGGGAGCCCTAGAAACAAAGAGCTGGTCGCTCTTGCGGAAAGCACTGGTCCTGGTCATTATGCTTGCAGAGCACGGACGGGACACAGAGCATTCAGCCCCTGATCCTCCGGGGAGGCAAAGGGTGGAGGGTGAAAAGCGGATAGCTCCAAAACCTCCGACGTGAACGCAGGGAAGCATTTCGGCATGAAGGCCGGGTTAGGCTTAAGGAAAACCTTATCTCCACTTAGGGAGAATTTGGCGCACGAGGGGTGAACCGAGAGTGCATGTAGCTCACTGACCCGTGTAGCAGATGCCAAGGCCGAGAGCAAAGCTGTCTTGAGGGACAGCAGCTTAAGGGAAATACTCCCCAGAGGCTCAAAAGGATACAGAGACCGCGCTTCCAGCACCATGGAGAGGTCCCACTCTGGGACAGATTCAACAGATCTCCTGATGACCAGCAAAGAGCGGCGTGCACCCTCCATAGATCTGCGGGTTAGAGGGTGCTGCCTGACGGTGGAGCCCCAAAACCCACATGACAGGCTGAAATCGCAGCCAGGTAGACCTTAATAGTGGAAAAGGACCTGCCTCTTTCCATGAGGTCTTGCAGGAAACACAAAATATCAGGCACCGAGCACTGATAAGATGTGAAACCACGCCCATCATACCACCCTTCGAACACTTGCCACTCACAGCCATATAGGGATCGCGCGGAAACGGCCCTGGCCTTCTGAGTAGTGGCGATTACACGCGGCGGGAGCCCCAGTGCATTTTGGTTCGTCCTCTCACGGGCCAGGCCCAGAGAGCCACCCTGTCCGGGTGGGGGTGGTAAATCTCCCCGTTGGCTTGGGACAGTATGTCCGTGCGAGGGGGGAGGCGCCATGGCTCGGCGTATAACAGAGGGATTATCTCTGCCAGCCATGGGGCTTTGGGCCACCTGGGTGCTATTAGAGTGAGAGACAGGCCGTGCTCTCTCACCCTGGCCAGAGTGAAAATTATCAGGCACAGGGGAGGAAAAGCATACAACAGCACTTTGGGCCATGGGTGGGCCAGTGCGTCTGCCCCGAGGGGCGCGTCCATGTCCTTTAGCGAGAAGAACATAGGACAATGGTGATTTTCGCGCGAGGCGAAAAGATCTACGGCTGCCTGTCCCATCTCATCCATAACCTCTCCACTATCTGCGGGTGAAGACGCCAATCCCCGTGGATTGGGTTTCCCCTCGATAGCAGATCCGCGCCTCTGTTCCGAATGCCCGGGACATGAGTCACGCGTAATGACAGAAAAACCTGTCTGCTCCACACCAAAAGCCTGTAAGCTAGAGCGTGGAGTTTTGACGAGCGCATGCCACCCTGACGGTTGATATAAGCCACTACCGTGGTATTATCGCACCGTACTAGAACAGGATGTCCCTGCAGGCAAGGCAGAAAATGATTCAGAGCTTTCCAAATAGTAAAAGCTCTAAATAGTTAATGTGCGCTGAACGTAGTCTGCTCAGCCACAGACCGTTCACCGTTCTGCCTTCCTGGGTGGTTCCCCAGCCTGTTAAGGACGCATCTGTCGTCAAAACTTTTCGCATCGTACCGTCCCGAGGGGGGGTTCCCCGTGCGTAAAAGTTCTCGCTCACCCAATGGCGCAAGGCCGCCGAGCAGGCGCGCGTCATCGTTACCGAGCGGCAGAGATCGCAAATCGGGCTGAAATGTAGTGTACAAAACCCATTTCGTGAACGTTCTCATTCTCAGGAGACCAATGGCACAACTTGGATAGATGAAGCCATGAGATCCTGCAGCCTGAGGCATGTGCGATATTGTACTCTCGCCCCTTCACTGAACTGAGACAGACAGTCCATCAGCGAGCGAACGCGCTCTTGAGAGAGACGCGCTCGCATGGAGACTGAGTTCAATTCCAAGCCCAGGAAAATGACATTCTGACTGGGAGTCAGATTGTTTTCGCTCGCATTTACCTTGAACCCGAGGGATGTGATGTGCGCGAGCACCCGGCCGGTGTCCAGCGACACCTTCTCCTTTGATTTGGCTATGATGAGCCAGTAAGTCAGAATTCTCAGCCCTGATAGTCTCAGGGGCGCCACGCCCACCTCCACACACAGACAGAAAGTTCGGGGACTCAAATTGCACCCGAACGGAAGAACTGTGAATTCGTAACAAACGCCTTGGTAGGCGAAACGAAGATATTTCCTGTGTGGAGGGTAGATGCTTATGTGAAAGAAAGCATCTTTCAGATCGACTGATGTGAACCAGTCGTTCTGCTTTATGGCACAGGCGAGAGAGGCTTGTGTCACATTCTGAAATTGAATTTCCTCAAATGTTTGTTCAACACTCGAAGGTCCAATATAGGGCGGGGGGGCGCCACGCCTTTTGGAACATGAAAATACCAGGAATAAAAACCATGGTTTATCAGATTGGGTGGCACCATCTGAATCGCTCCCTTGTTAGGAGGGAGGAAATTTCCTCTTTCAGAATGTGTGAGGCGTTTTCTTCTGTGTGAGAAGAGAGAACGCCGTTGAAATGCGGAGGTTTTATTGCAAACTGCAGCTTGTAACCCTGGGTTACAGTACGCAAAAACCCACTCGGGCGCTGAAACGGCTTGCCAAGCCGCTTTGTGACTCGCGAGCGCCCCCGCTCGGGCCGGAGCGAAGCTGTATGGGCCCAGCTGGTTCATTTGTGATGCAAAGGCGCCATCTAGTGGGAACACTAGAGGCAACATGCAGGGGTTTGGAGGGATTTCCTCTCTCTGCAGTGAGAAGTTTTCTTTGCGGAGAGAGGTCTTCTCTCCAAAACGAATTCATTTGATTCGTAGCTTTGTGTGTTTTGTGTTGGGCAAACACTGGGGCCAAAGCCTTTATTGACAGAGTGAGGGAAACATAGTGTGGTGTCCACTGTACTGAACTTTCCCTCACAAGGTGTCCCCAAAAGTGGGAAAAACACATATCTCCTGAACACATGAACTGGGCAGTCTCAAGTGCAGGCAGAAAAATAATATCCGCGGAGAGAGATACTCTCTCTGTAACGGATTTATTTAATGCGTTTTTTTTTTTTTTTTTTTTTTTTTAAGTGTTATTTAGTTATGTGTGTGTTTTGTGTTGGGGAACACAGGGGCCTTACACACACAACGTCCACTAAAAACACATCGGCTGGACAGCCGCAACTGAGCTGTGTGAGCCCAGTTGGTTGATTTATGAGGCAATGGCGACCTCTTGTGGACGGACTCAGGGCGACACGCATGGGATCAGAGAGATTTGCTCTCTATGTTGCCGCTGGCAGATATATAAATCTGCACGAATTCATTTGATTCGTTTATTAAATGTGTTGTTTAGTAATGTGTGTGTTTGTGTTGGGAAACACTGGGGCCGAAGCCTTTAATAACTGGGTGAGGGGAACCAAGTGCGTGCGGTGTGGTAACACTGCTATGTACTTTTCCTCACGACAGCCCCCTCCCCCGTAACTTGTTGTTGTGGGGGGGAGGGGGACACACACACACAACGTCCACTAACATACGGGCTGGGCAGCCACGCGAGGGGATTAACCGACCGTAGGTGGGAGACCCTGTTAGTTAACGTTACTCCCAATGGTCGAACAACAGGCAGGCCGCTTGCGTTCGGGACCGCCTTCCTAGGAAGGCATACATTGAAAACCTCAACACGTAATCGTAACAAATCAAGGCCCGTGAGACCGTGTTAACAGTCTAGCGGGACGCTCCGGCCGTTCAGACTGGGCGGTGGTCCCAGCGTTTACCCGTCGTACATATTCCTATCCTGGTCGGTGGCGCTCTGTGGAGCTGGCCACACAATGTTGAAACGAACGGCCGCTCGCTCACAAACTTCCAGGAGGATGGACGGAGGCAAAGCCGCGTGAACGCTAGCCTAGGGAACGCTAAAAGGACCGCGTCATCCCCGTCGCCGGAACCGACCGGTTCGTCAACGAGAGTGAGGTTTTCCCGCGAAGATGTCCTCTTCAGGGAATGCGGATTGGGCTGATGTCAGCTCAAATATTTTAGAGAGGTGGCGCTCCGGGAGTCCCCCGGTAGCGCGTCATCATCACCGTGTCTCTCCTCCGAGTCAGAAAGGCCGAGCACGGCGCGCTGTGTCGTGCAACTAAAAGCCGGCTTAGTAAAAGCTACATGGGCAGCAATTACAATGACCGCAATTCCCCGGGTTCTCCAAAGCTTGAGCGTGTTAAGCCCAAGCAGACCGCGCAGAACGAGAGGGTCCTTATAGCGGCGATGAGAGCACCACACGCGGCCGGGCAGGCTCGTCGTGCT